GATTTCTGTTTTTCGTTTTTATGTTCATTAGAGTGGAAAAGCCTTGTTCACAAAGGTAGGTTGTTGCAAATGGCAGCAATTTTTTTACCGCCTCCTCATGTGCAATTTTGAAAGCCTTTGCAGCCTTTGACAACCAAAAAGACGATAAATTTGCGTTGGTCTCAAATTGAATACAATATTGGATGGAAGTTCAAGAATTGCCTCTGCCAAACCTTGAAGTTCTTCTGGTATGTTAGTAATTTCACATTTAAATCAGAAACGCCTTCACAGTTTGTACATCAAGATCTGGAAAGTAGTCAGAGAACAGAGAGCGGTTTTCTGACTACTACTTTAAAATTGGGACTTTTTGATGAAAGAACCTAATTCACAGTTTGTACATCAAGATCTGGAAAGTAGTCAGAGAACCGCTCTCTGAGTTTGGTAAGATGAAATTAGAAAAATTTCCTTATTACCCAAAAAAATTTCATTTTTACCCCATTTTGGGTAATTTACCCCGGTTCCCCGACCGCTGGTCTAAACCGTTCGAGAAGCTGTTGCTGCGAAGACTGAAGCCCTGGCTGTTGGATAGTCATCTCAATCCGGAACACCAGTTCGGATTTTGTGAGCGACATGGCACTGTGGAACAGGTGCATCGTGTGGTGGATGTGATTGGCAAAAGTCTTGAGGAGAAGAGGTACTGCTCTGCTGCTTTCCTCGACATGTCACAGGCGTTCGACCGAGTATTGCATGGAGGATTGCTATATAAAATTAAAAAGTGTACTTGACCGGGAGGCACTTCCAGGTCAAGCACAAGGACCAAGTGACCTCACCTCACTACGCCCAATCCTTTCTGGTATTGCACAGGGAAGTGTTTCTGGACCCTTACTTTATTTGATATTCACGGCTGATTTACCAACTCAGCACGCCACTATAGCCACATTTGTTGATGACACCGTTGTTCTAGCATCCCACCAAAACCGAACTACGGCCTCACAGATATTCCAAAGAAGTCTGAATACCATAGAACATTGGTTCAGAAAGTGGAGAATTAGGGCTAATGAAACTACGTCGACAAACTTGTCCACTCGTTACACTGAATGGCAGTGCCCTACCACAGGCTGATGATGCTAAATATCTTGGCATGCATCTGGATCGTCGTCTCACCTGGAAAAAGCATATCACGACAAAAATAAAACAGCTGGGACTGACGGTAAAAAGATTGCATTGGCTGATGGGTAGATACTCATCCATCTCAGCAGAAAACAAAGTCTATTTATAAGACGATAAAAAACCAATTTGGACTTATAGACTACAACTATGGGGAACTGCCTGTAACACAAGTATCGACATCATACATCGGTTCCAATCAAAAATGCTCAGAGCAATTGCCAATGCTCCTTGGTTCTCGACTAACGAATACATCCATCAATACACTGGAGTCCGATTTGCGAAGGATGAAATAATGGAACTCAGCAGCAAATACCAACATCGGTTGGAAGACCATCCAAACCAACTTGCTTCTGAACTTACACACACTGAATCCTATCGACGAAGATTGAAACGATTTAAACCACAGGATCTTCGTGAATTTTTCTTTAATAAGCACTCTGTAGAGTTTGGTCGCTGGATCAATCTCCAATATATATTTTTAATTTCTCTTACAATAAGTTCAGAACTAGATTTTTCTTTTTTATTGTAGATAGATTGCTTTATAAATATTAATAAAAAAAAAAAAAAATGGTAACTATCCATCGAGAAAGTGTCAACCACGATCTTAAATTTATTCAATGTTCACATTGATGAACAGATTGTGAATAAAATTACACGACATAATAAAAAAATATATGAGTAAATATAATTGATATTATAATTAGCAAATTTTAGTTTTTTTTTTTCATAAACTATAACATTATTCATTATCATTTGAATATAAATTTGAATAACCAATTGATTGATAAAGTAATTAATTATGTACATATATTATGTTTAATTAAAGAAAAGTATATTTAAGTTCATGAATAATATATTTATTTAATAAATAAGTAAAACATGTATATCAGTTGATAGTATTAATGTAATATCATTATAGATTAACGTCCCAAGCGAGGAGAGAATGAAGATTTTTTGCCAAGTCTAGGTGAAAATGCCGAGCGTTGGAAAATAATTTCTGGACTCGATTCAGGATCTTGAAGCCATTTGGCATCTCCCAAATTGATGACATATGCGTTCATATCTTCACCGGACTCCCGTCCCAGCCTCGGAACAAAGTCGTAGATGGAAGGTTTACCTTTGTTAAACATAGACCTGTAGTCCTAAAAACAAACAAACAAGCAAACATTATAGATTATAGTTTAAATAATACTAATTGTAAAAAAAAAACTCACATTTTGCCCATCAAATGCAGCTGATATTAAGAGAGCAGATACGAGAAGAACTGACAAAACGATGACTTGACGATGCATGTTTGAGCTATTGGAGATACTGTGATGCTTAAACTTGGTTGTATGGAGCTTTATATACTGGAACAAATCCTGTTAAAGGTCGGTAAGTGGTGATCATTCTTTTCAATTAATTACAATTATTTCTTAATCCCCGAATTCATGTTCTGTTTTGTATTTTAATCTCAAATACGAAGCTAGGATTACTTTGTCTTACGATAATTTTCACTGTGCTAATTACGATTGATTTCATTACTAATTAAAATAAATTATTAATTTGTTTTCTCAGTTTTCTTACGGCTATTTAAAATGTGAAAAGTAACAAACAATTTATATTACGCATTTTAAATAGACGTAAGAAAACTAAGAAAACAAAGAACACAGGATATAATTAAAAAGTGTTGAGAAATTAATAATTAGGGAAGAGTGGGCAGTTAGGTGCAGTTTAGTGGCCCTAAAAAGTTTAACATTTTATTAGGTTATATTAATTCCTTCATAGAGTATTTTCTAGAATTAATACTAGTAGATTCTCGAAAACTAATGATATTGCTTTAAAAATTGTTTCTAAACTTTTTAAATTTAATATAACAAATAAGAATTGGTTGATTTTTTTTCAATTGATGGCAGCAACAACTTACTCATTTATAAAATTTTATTTAACAATTGTTTATATAGAGGATGCTAACAAGGTTTTTTTTAAATCTTCCACTAAAAAAACATCATCATCAATAAATTTTTTTTAGTCGTAATCTCATAGAGTTTAAAAGTTTACGATTTTAGTAGTCTTGAATTAGAAAAGTTGTGTTTTCTGAAAGACACAACTTTGATAAGAATGCACGTATCAATGTGTTGAGATCAATAGAATATCCGGACTATTTATTGTCAATACCGTTTTTCTTTAGGAATAAATTGGTTAATATTAAATGGGACTTTAAATTTCAAACTTCGTTATATTAAAAAAAAATTACCAGGTATGTAAATATGAAACCGTGGCGCCATTTCCTTGTTGACACAAAAAGATTTTCAACTCGCAATAATAGAACGGCATTGATTTTCTGTTACCATTTGAAGAAATCGGCTTCAGAATTGCATCGAATTCTTGTCGAAGTGAAACTTTTAATACTGAATGCTATCGATAACAAATGATTGATTTTAATCAAGTGGCATAAACACATTTTTAATCATTGATCAATTACATAATTTACATTACATAATTTTATGTCATTATTTAAGTTAAAATTCAGACTATAGTAATTCTATCGTATAAAGGTTACCAATATAAATTGCTGAAATGATTAGAACATAGATATTTTAAATGACATACAAAACTAAATTAAATTCCAAGAAAATTGGAAAACAATTTCCGGATTTACGGTTATCAGAACAACGGATTTACTATTAAACGAATTCGATTAAATATAATATGTAATTATATATCGAACTGTTTATTTTCATCCTTCTAACACGTAAAGAAAGAGAGAGAAAATAACAAAAAAATAATGAAAATTCACACCTTAAACTCTCCTAGTTGCATGGAAGATAATAAATAGATGTTAGTTGGTATCGAAACAGCGAATCTGTTTTAAAATAATTCATTGCGTTTACCTTTCACCGAATGCAGGTTTAGGTTGGCGGACGAAGATAATGGGAATGCCTTCAAAGAGGAGGAAAGAGGATAAGGTTCGTGGAAAGAAAACGCAGTTTCGCGTGAATTAATTTTATGCATTCATCTACGATTGTGTTAGCAGATTACATTATAATTATAACCAGCATCCAGACTCATTCAGTAACTAGGAGTTAGTTATAAAAGCCACTCGATCAATTTATCTCGAGACGCACGCGAATGCTGCAAGTGTGTTGGAGAAGGAGAAAAAGAGATAAATAGAAAACATAGAGAGGAGTAAGAGAGAGAAGTTGCAACGCTTATTGAAGAATTATGAAAATAATTTCAAATCTGATATCCAATAATAATTTGTTTTCTTAATAAAATGCCGGCTCTAAGTACAAGGCACGGAGGATTTTTGCTCCTTTCTTCTCCATCGGTCGACTTGAGAACCATCCTCTATCTGTATTAATAACACGGCGGTTTGCGACTTTAATCAGCATTGTTGATACGTTGAACATTTAAATCATACGGTTGAAATTTGCTAATTGTCAGGAGATTAATTATATTCCTTAAGCAAAGTTCCCTTGCATCGTACTGCACATCTTATTACCATCCCATATTTCTATTCCACTTACATTTATTTTTTCTTTCTTCGTCTTAATCTTACAATGCAAATAAATCAATCTTCGTTTCAGAATAATAACTACGATGACTGAAGCTAATCACCTCATTTTGATATTCCTCATTTGGAAGATATTGTCCCATTGTTATTCCCTTTTTTAAATACCTCTTAATCTTCCAATTTGTAATAAATCAATCCTAATTTCTTGTTAACAGCGACAACGAAATCTAATCACCTCATTATTTTATACCATTTTTCTTGGTATTCTGATAGAGGGATGAGTAGGATGACAATAGATGATATGATGATAAAGATTTCACATCCTAATCTTTGGATTGGAAATAAATCCATCCTCGTTTCTTATTAATAGCTGTGATTAGATTTAGTCATAGTCATTCTTTTCATTTTTTTTCTTTTGGTATTCTGTTAGAGGCAAGTGTCGGAAAACTATAAAATGGTATTAGATTTCGCACATATCTTTTCCACTTTAATTTACTTCTCTTCTTTTTTTTCTAAATTCATCCCAATCTTTCAATTGGAAATAAATCAATCCTCGTGTCTCGTTAATGGCGAAGTATAAATCTAATCACATTATTTTTTTCGTCCATATTTAGTGCTCTGAGAGAGGCACGTGTAGGTAGACAATGTAAATGTATTTGAAAATGGATTCCGCAGTTCGAAGATATTGTTTCAAATAACAAATTGTAATTGCCGACGTGTATTGAAAGGTTGTAAATCTTGATGTCATATATCTGCTCGCATTCTTTCACATCCCCAGCATCCATAGTTCCATCCGACGAGCTTAGATCAGGGATGACCAACCTTTTAAGCTTATAACAAAACAAAGTATTGCAAACATAATAAGTGTAACTGCATTGTATGTACATTAGTAAGATGAGTAAGAATTTACAGTAGTGTAAATTGAACAAAAAATAATTGAATCATTTTACAAAGATGGCATTAACTAACTTTAATTTTAAACTTTTCTTTGTAAACCAGTTAAATATTTTTAAAAGACCGTGGTCAATTTAGTAATTATTTTCTAATTCTAATCTAATCTACACATCTGGTTTCCAAACTATAGATAATTTTCATTAAGATTATTGTAAGTTATAATTGAATAAAGAATTACAAACTGATTGACGTAACTAAAAACTTTGATATTTAATTAATTCATTATTTGATAAAATTAGGTTAAATTTTATAATTATTTGTATATAATTAGAAATATGAAGTTTTGTTAAAGAAATAAAAGTTAATTCAATATCAAAACCTTTCTTAATACCATAATTCATTTTCATGTAAGTGAAATAGTTCGACTAATTTAATGAGGTTACATCTGATTGTAGGTCATCATGAAATTTAAATATGTTTTGAAGCAAAGTTTTTGCTTATTTAATTAATGTTACAGTAACCTTAAAAAATAAGCAAAACTTTCATATTAAGAAGTGTTTTTTTTAATATAGTCACAAATTATTTAAAATCTAATCTATTTGTAAAATTTACCTGATTAACTTATATTTAATAATAAAATTATTACTTATATCTTAATTGTATCAAGTAAGTTTGTGTCCTTTTATAAGTAAATTACAACTTCATTATTACAATTACTAGTTAGTATTGTCTTGTGATAGTGGCGTAACAAAAACTGAACGAGTCCTTTATTGAATTTGTTTGACCCAGTAAAAAGAATTTTGGAAGACACAAACAAATTTAAACTTGCATTATTATGAATGAATCTTATTATTGAATTATGTGTATATTATACCAGTAATTACTTTTCAGTATATGTATATTTTCGAAGAGATTCATAAATATAATGATAACCGTTGTATTAAGTCCTAAAATTACTATCAGTTGAGTATGATAATGGATGTTTTATAATATTAATTTTTTTAATGTAAAGAACTTTGTATTCCTAGAAAATTTAATTTTAAAAAATGGACCCTCCTTCAATACATAGTTTTTCTATAATCAAACCGTCCTTACATCCTGAACTCTTCAGTTTGTAAATTTTATGTTAAGCTTATGTGATCTATTTAAATTTGATTAAATCTTATATTTGGTTTTATTAAAACGCGAATATAATAATACAATATTACATAAATGTTTTTAATAATAATAAATTTTCAATTGTTGTTCAATTAATTATCCAATTAATGTCAACCGCGATCTTAAATTTACTCAATGTTCACATTGATGAACAGATTGTGAATAAAATTATACGACATAAAAAATATATATAAAAGTTGACTGTAAATGATGAATTAAATTAGTATTACATAAGACATCAAAAAGTGAAGAAGTTATGGAATTGTACTAGAATTGTTGAAGAGCAGACTGAATAAGCTGGTGCGATATTTGAAATACAATTTGTATAATCTTGAAATAAACTATAAAAAAGAGAAAATGAATTATCTAAACATCCAAAAATCTACGAAAAAACACATAAATGCAATCAAATTAAAATACCTATGTTCAAAAAATCCCGTATAATATTTACTTTAAGGCATGAATGACTTTTACTATGTGTAAAGTCAATTGATTGTATGATTGTTTGAATTGTATAAAGTTATGTTGTTGGTCAGCCATGTACTTGATGAAGAGGAGTAAGAATTACGAGTCGTGGTTCTCTCATAAGCCACTCTCTGCCGAACCGAACCACCTTTATGCGACTTTTTATTATTTCTCCTGCTGCATTAGATTTTATTTTAATCGTTCAGGCCACTCCCTGAGTTATATACCAGTTATCGAAATCGTTGCACCTCTCCTCTTTCGCTCTTCCGTGTTTTACTTCTATTACAACCATTGATAACACCTCGGCTCG